GAAGCAATAATTTAGCAAGAAACCAACAAAGCAGTTTCTCAATGTTTCTCAAACTCTTGCAATGTCAAGCCTAGCTCAACAACCTCCTTTGTTGGGGGCTACTCCCATCTTCGGGACACAATAAAAAGGTGCAACTTCCCACTGGGTTTCCATGGAGCTGGCTCTCCCCCATGACCTGCATGACCTGAGGCCAGGGGCCTGGAACATTTGCACACCAGGCGCCTCGTGGGCGCCTGGCTGAGCAGTTGAGTCTTGTTTTTGGCAGGGCTGTACCATGATGATACCATGACTGATTGGTGGTTTCAAACATGAAATTTATTTTCCATAATATGCTGGGGATAATCCTTCCCATTGACGTTCATATTTTTCAAGATGGTTGAAACCACCAACCAGATGATGTATTGAATTTATCCGAACAGACTTTTTGTGATATGTTTGGCAGCACCAGCTAAGTCAGAGATGAAGAGGTTCCAAAAGACCTCAAATGCATTGGTTTCTTTGCCGAACGAGACATGAAAAACGGGGGATTTGCAGACGTGTTGCAACATATCTACGTGCTCCCAGCAGAATGCTGCACGCTTTTTTGACCGCATGGTTTGATGACATGTTTGTAAAGACTGAGACTGGAACAAGAACTGAGTACTGAATTTCTGGCACCGAAAGCACTGAAGAGTTTCTTTGCTTTGTCCGTATCTTTAAAGAGCAACTAGCCGCTTCGTATCGTCTCGCCGCAAACTCCTGGGAATTTGAAGGAATACCCAATGAGTGTGCTTTTCATCTCAGGGAATATTGGCTCATTTTTTGTACCGTGCACCCATGCAAAGTGATACATTGTAGTGGGAAAGCAAGGGTTGATTCCCCCATTCCCTTGGTATTCCTTGGTATTTTTCAGCCAATGAGTGAAAACTCAGCGCCTGCGACCTGCTGTATCCAGCTTTGTCGCCAGGCATATCCTGTACCGAGACCTGAAGCCCGAGAATCTGATTTTGGATTCCAAAGGCTTGGGTTCCAAAGGATGAAGGATTGGTGAGTGGACACCACTACCCTTGGAAGAAACATGAATAAACATGAGATACTGAAGATGTTGCATCTTTTACAATCCTTATGGATTCTAGGTTTAGTGGGTCTTCGCAAATGGATACAAATGGATACCGATGGAGGATAAGTGGTGTTGTATCTTGGCCTGGTTGAGAAACAGGTGTCCTAGGCACTCAAGAGAGAAGAGCAAGCAGATGCAAGCAGGATTGAACGGTTGCCTATCATTTTGAAAGATACAGCTACCCTATGGCTTAGCTACAGGCTAGAAAAGCTGATCCAATGCGTGCACTGTTGACCCCAGATTAGGAAATTTGCGTTGATCATCCGGGGGTGTTCTGTTCAAAGGGGTTTTATTCCTTTTTGGACCTACTCCCTGCAATCAGACGCTGAATTGCCAATCTGGTGTCAACATTTGATTGAACCTTTTGGGCAAGGATATTGAATATTATCTTCATGACTTTCATGGTGTTGCAAGTTTTTTCTTAAACATATATACGTTATATACGCATAGATTGACAGCGTGCTACAGAGGCTGGAAGCACATACTTTGCGTTGTGGAGGGTGCTTGAAAGACCCCCTGCTAAAGGTCCTCCATGAGGCAATGATCATGGGCAATGTAAACATCAGCCGGTCAGCCGGTAATGAAAAATGATGTTACCTCAGACGCCCCCTCTGTTCCCAGCATCAATTGATCATTTTTGTTCGACCTGATCTGACTTGAAAAAAACGTTCACTATTTATTAGCAGGTGTTGCAATTGTTACAATAGTTACCTAAGAAATAGTTACCTGAAAAATTGATGTATCAGCCCTTCTTTTGGCAAGTATTTCTTAGCAGCTCAGGTGTTGCAATTGCCAGCATCAATTGCCGCAGGCTATGCGAAGATCTGCGACTTTGGACTTGCGAAATTTGCCTTGGGGCGGGCCCATACCTTTTGCCGGGGAGCCTGGAGTGGTACAAATCTGAGAGTGAGAACTTGCCGTCAAGGTTCAATGAATTCGTAAGTATTGCAATTTTGCAATGGCACAACACCGGAGAATCTACATTTATGCATCTCTGTTTTTGTTTTCTGGTGATTTTGGAGCACGGCATTACTGTCATTCTTCGATATTGCGGTTTGCAAAAATGTGCAAAACAACATGGTGCTTGTTGGTGTGCAATTTCCTGGGGGATGTCATGCCTGGCTCCAGAACAACACGCCATGACACGCCATTTTCTTCGTACATTGCAATGAATTGTCATGTTTGCAGGAATAATGAGAAACCATTCAGCGGAGGCATCGCCCTGCAGTTTTCTGTCAATTTTTTAGCAAAGGACCTGCATCCTTTTGAACATGATCCACTAGATTGATCCACTAGACTTCTGTTTCCAAAGCCAGAGCCGTCCGCCGGTGGAGTGCAACACGGACGTAGCAATGAAACGACCCCGTTCAGATTTCTTCTGCTCCAAATGTGCGCGATCAATGCACGGTCAACTATGAAGGCATTTGTTCGAACCCCGAATGTACATCCAATGATAGAGGCTACACAATCTGCCAGATGGGTTTTGGAAAATTCCGTCCAAATGAACAACGCACAATGAAATGATCTGCCCTGAGTGTGATTCCCTTTTTGAGCCGGATTGCTATATATATTTTTTTCCGTTGCGCCAAGATCAATTTCTGCATTGCGGGCGAATCTGCAGATCAGATCTCACTATCTGAAGACCGGAAGAGCACAGCACGGCAACTTGGGCAACGTGGGGAGAGAGTCAACTACGAAATGCTGGTGATCGAAGTGGAGCGACCAGGTACATTACATTTCCGAACCGGGATTCCTTGGAGGTTCGCGACACACTAGAGGGAGCTGTAGCACAAATCATGAGCCTTCGTTGAGCTTGCGCTGGAACCGGGAAACCAACTTTACTCTCCCACCAAAAGAATGAAGACTGAAGCAGATACTGAGATGAACCCCTGCGAAATCTTCTACATTCAAGATAGTATAGGAAATCGTTTCCAATGTGGCCGAAGCGTTCGTAAAACTATGCAGGAGCTACAGAAAGGTCTTGATGTTTCTGAAATCCGGTGGCACACGGAAGACAACCGTCGCCTTTGGTGCTTCAGAGCGGCAGGTCTAAGTTCTGTTCCTGTCAAACGCATTGAAAGAAGCCGAGTTGATCCTCGGAAGTTTACCACCAGAAACGGAGGAACGTCCATAGTAATGCGCTAGGATTTGGCCAGGCCTGTGTCTCGCATCCAGACAGAAGTGAACAGAGTTAAATTGCATTCTTCCTTGGTTGATATTGCAGCAGATTGACAGATTTGTCCAGTTCATTGCTGTATAAATCAGTACCCATCGATGCTGGGTGGAAGGAAAAGAGGGATGCAGCTGCACGAGCAATCACTGTGCCAGTTGCGTTTGTCACTGTGACCTGCGTAGTTCTGTGACGCACTGTCTGACCCGCAAGCGGTCTGGGAAGCCAAAGGACTTGATGGCTTGGACACGTACATGGATATATACATATACAATCATATACATATTATATATACAATCATATACATATTTACATATCTAGATTATATTTGATTTGGTTTGATTTGATTGATAGATTATATTGATTGATGCAGTTCAAACCATGCAGGACAAATTGGTACATAGCCAGCAAGCACCTTCAAGTCGTGCGTGCTGGCTGCTGGAGTTGGCAAACTTATATGAAAGGGTATGTTGGAGGACCTTTGGGCTCGAGAACGACGTTGCATTCCAAAAGACCACAGAAAGACTAAGGTAAGGAGATTTCAATTTTGGGCAATAGTTGTCCTTGCCCTTTAGGCACAATTTTCCAATTTTGATGTCTGATTCTTCAAAATCTCTACATGATCCACATCCAGACACCATCCAATGATCCACTGCACCATTTAGATCCATTTAGCACATTGTACAAAATTCAAACCGTTTCCTTCCCACGGCCCCTTCGGCCTTCGATCGTGCCGAACTCTCTGAGCAATGAACCGGCCCGTAAATTTTCGTGCTCCAGACGTCCGAGATCAAAGCACAATTCAGACTGAGAAAGTTGTCGATCCGCCAAGGTGCTGGGTGCTGGATCATGGTGTGAACTACCTAGGCCTTTGTCCAAATGCTGGCTGTATCTCCCACGAGAAAGGTGCCACAATCTGCCAGATGGGTCTTGGAAAGTTCCGTCCTAATGAGCAGCTCTGCTACAAGGAGATTGCTTGCCGTGCCTGCCATTCCCTTTTTGCGCCACATTGCTATGTTTTCTATCATTGTTCTGCCAAGATCAATTTCTGCATTGTGGGTGAATCTGCAGATCAGATCTCCCTATCCGAAGACCGGGAGTGCAAAGCACGGCAACTTGGGAAGCGTGGGAAGACCTTGGTCTATGAAATGCTGGTGATCGAAGTGGAGAGACCGGGCACATTTCCGGACCGGGATTCCTTGGAGATCCTGAATATTCACAAGGACTCCATGTTTCAATCCTCTATCAGCTTGCTCTCAACTGCCTCAACCATCACCAGCCCACTCTTGAGTGGCGCAGAGATGAGTCCAGCGCAGATTCATTTCATCCAGGACAGCATCGCCAATCGCTTCACATGTGGGCGAAGTGTCCGTGATACCATGGAAAAGCTGAAGAGGGGCGTTCTCCGTGCTCTTGACATTCCAACCATCAGAGTTTTCCAGTGGAAAGGCAAGTGGCACACGGAAGACAATCGCCGCCTCTGGTGCTTTAAGGAAGCTGGTCTTAGTTCTGTTCCGGTCAAACGCATTTGTGTGTTTCAGGTTGATACTAGGAAGTTCAGCACCACGAACAACGGATTGTCGGTTTTCATGCGCTAAGGCCGCTAGGATGCAGGGCACAACGCCTTTCATCCTGAGCGGATGTTGACGGTCCTGACAGTGGACTGTTCTATTTTAATGATGTGGGGAGCAGATCTGCACGTTCCTGCTGCTGCATCACTGACCCATGGGCAAAACTTGCGCCTTCACTGCAGCTGCGGAGGGCTGGGATGCAATTTGCACAACTGACTGAGCAATCCACATGCCATCTGGCTAGTGTGGGTATCACATGGTATCACTTTGGCCAGAGGGGTTAACCTCCAGTAAACAAACCTGGCAACGAAACAAAATGAAACATTACATACCCCATGTTTAGATTGTTTAGTTCAGCTAATAGATCTCATTTCATAGAACAATCCAATACGAATCGCACATTGTCCATTGCCAGCTTAGCATCCCTCACGACCGGCCCCGAGGTGGAACTCCTGACTACCTGGCGCCTGAGTTGGGAGACATGGAAGGCTACACCAAGGCGCTGAGTCATGGGGGAGATGGCCTGGTGGCTGCTGGTGTTTCTTCAAGTGAGCCCTGCCTGGTGTGGTCCCGAATTCGGATTAAATACCTTGGAATTTGGGGAATGGCTTTCTTTGAATGGGGATTTTGCCCAATAAATTTCCCAATATTTCAATACTTGAAACTTTCTTGGAATATGTTTGGACATTGAGATTTCATGGAAGAACAGTTTCGCCACCAGCGCGTCACCAGCATCTGGAGTGTAAAGATGGCACAAAGATGACAGGTGTTTGACGCACTGGTCTTTTTTCAGCATCCCTGAAGCCATACGGCTTCATTTGAAGGTGAGGGTCTTTAAAATGGCGGGGATCAGGCCCAAAAAGTGCGACTAAGAATTCCGATGTTTGTTATATTGTTGCACATTGCAACATATCCAGACAAGTTCTCTTCCCTGTTTCGGGAATCTTTACAATTTCTGCAAATACAGATCCCAAGACACCAAGAGATTGTTGACCATGGATCAGCAGGGTACCTAGCTTCACCCTCGCGAAATGACACAACATCACAATACCTATCTAAATACCGATGATTTCCCAACTTTTCCTTGCTTAATCAATGAACAGTTCCGTATTGTCTGTTGGACAAAATCATTTTTGCTATCTTAAAATCTAGCTGGTTGGTGGTTCGGAACATTTCTTTTTTCATATATTGGGAATGTCATCATCCCAACTGACGAACTCATATTTTTCAGAGGGGTAGGTATACCACCAACCAGCATTTAGTTCGGGGATTTCCCATATAAAAACCCATGGTTTTCCTATGTCTTTCCCGTGATTTTCCGTTTGATATCCCGAACTTCACCATTCGCCACGACCACCACGGCGCAGGCGGTGGACTGGTGGTCCCTGGGCATCCTGGTCTTTGAGCTGATGACCAGCGACACGCCCTGGGAGTGCGGAGCTCAGCGGAGCTCAGCGGAGCTCAGCGGAGCTCAGCGGAGCCCTGGGTGTGTCCAACCGTCCAGTGCGATGCGGAAAGACCTATGATAGGCTGATAGGCTGATAGGTGATATTTCACAGGGGAACTATGTGGTTTTCGGAGGCGTTCACTTTCAGGGTTTTGTTGGTTCATACATGTAGAAAAAGGATGAAAAAGGACTTTTATGAAGTTGTGACAGATCCATGAAAATGGGGCCACTTGAAGTGATAGTAGCGGTATTTCTGAGCTCATGATTCTGGTTCACGAATACCTGCATGTCCACAGGAATTGTCAGTTTCGATCCCAGGCACTAGAGTAGAAGTTGATTGGCAGCCCACTTGGGTGATGAGTGATTGAAATATGTCGTGTTCTTTATCGCAGCATATAGGTTGATTATCCCAATTCCCAAGTGCCCAGATATTCCCATCATGTTCCCAACCAAGGACCAGTGATCCCTTTGAGTGACCTGGCAATTCGTTGGCGCTGGTGGCTGGTGAAGCTTTCAATAAGCACATCTTGTTTGGAGGGATGGTCAACCACTGTTTCACCATGGGTGGATTGGTGTCACGAACCTGGTAGGAGGCACCGAGTTCTGTGTTCGGCTCATGGGTGTTCATTCCTCAAGATTTCTCCAAAGATGGTCCCAGAAAGATCGATTTTTTCATTTTTGTCAGATGGGTATGGATCAATACCTATTAATACCGTTTTTAGTGGGATGAACATCCATTTACCAGCTATTTTGATGTTCACCAGGGGTACAAGGTTTTGACACACTGCCAGATGTTGACCCTAGTTTTGTGTGATCCCTGTGGAGTCTTCAAAGGCGCCCGGAGCCAAGGATTGTCAGTCTTGGAAAGAAAGGCCCAGTGATGCCGGGTTTGGGGACGGCTAATGGCAGTTCAGGATGGGAATGGATGGGATATCCTCCGGCAATTGGACATGGCAATGGAAAACCATGGAAAACCTCAACTTTGAATAGGAATGGAATGTAGAAAGGGGGATTTCACATTGCCATCTTTCTTCTCAGAGGGAATGTACTGGGTCTCGTAATATGAACAAGACATTCCAAGCATCAGAGACTGGGGCAAAAAGGTGCGGATTTGATGTAACCAATCAGAATGATCTTTATCGTCTTGAAACTCCAAGACAACGGGCATCAACGATGTTTTTCCCATTGGAACAGCCTGTCATTTTGGCCTTCAAATATTTTAATTTGAAGGCCTGGGAGTTTGTGATGTTCAAGAACAATTGTTGCTCGTTAATCCCGGATGTGCTAGATCAATAAATCCTGTACATTCATATTTTCAGATATGTGGATCTTCCATGGACGCATGGATATTCCCATGATATTCCCATGATCTTCCAATATCAATGGGGAGACCTTGGATAAATTACAGTCTCACCTCGAGGTTTGCAGCAAAAGCGTGTGTGCTGGCCCGAAGATGCAGGCGCAAAACGCCCTGGGGAAGATGGCATTTGTCAACCCCGGAGACTAAACCATGGCTAATTACGGAGGGTACTCCCGAAATAGTGATAATCTGACAGTTAAATGATGTTAAATTGATGTTAAATGTTACTCCCCCAATGAAAAACAGCCGTTTGGGGTTTGTTGATCCAGGATTGAGTGCTTCTTACGGATTACTGGTGGTTAATAATGGTGGTTAAATTACTATAATCAACCATCATTAACCAGCATTGACTATAATGATCATTGGAGTAAATTCCTGGTACACCTTCTTACGGATTGCTGTGCTCGGATGAACATCCTGGTCAATTATCAGTAATCAGTGAGGGGAGCCTTCAAAAGATGGCTGTTTTGGTTGCGAGATCCCCATATGTGGTCACCAAAATGTATATGTGTATATATATAGTTATACACGCATATACATCGCCATTCCATTTTGTGTATGTATATATATATATGTATATATATATATATAGTTATTTGATACATGTTTATGTCTAGCCTATATATATATACATACACATGTGCATATACACATACACAGTCATCCCCCAAATAGATTGATTATAGTAAATCACTACTAAGTTGATAATGGTTATCCCTGAGCTTACTATGATTTATTCAAAGGAAGTTGGGAAGCAATCTTCCGAGTTACGGACAAATATAATTGTGAGACTTTACATCACACAACAGTACATCATATCACAATACATCACATAAAAGAAGGCAACGAAGGGTGGTGCTTGAGGGAAGTGATGACGAAGGGTGATGACGAAGGGTGGTGTTGAAGGATGGTGACTGAGGGAAGTGGTGACTAAGAGAAGTGGTGGAATGAATGTGCACGTGCTGCTGCAAAACACATTGTAATGGCTGCATGAATGTTGCATGGGACTTGGGTTGGGGAGGAAGCCGGAGCACGAAACCTTGTATTTTTCCGTGAAAGAACTTTGAGGAGATGAGAAAGGTTGATCAGTGCTCGGATGAGATGAAAACAGTTGAGAAGAACTTACTTAGATGACATGTGAGAAGAGATGGAAAGAGATGAGAAGAGCTGAGATGAGGTGAAATGAGGTGAGAAGAGCTCACGTGATTTGAGATGAGATGAAGCGTGGAGTGCGAAGTGCAGGTGTGAAGTATGAAGTGCGGGCTGTGAAGAGTGCAGCGTGATGTGTGAAGAAAGTGTTCGCTTGGCGTTGCATTGCACCGGGGTCGCGCTCAGGTCATGTTCTTGGATAGCAGCAGTGCAACAGGTTCGCACAAAGCACGCGCGCACGGGCCTGGCTGGCGCACGGCGCATGCAAGTTCTACAGATGAGAAAGGTCTTATAGTACAACCCTAAGGCAACTTCCGACCCGCCTCGTGCGCGCGCTACTGGAACATACGTTTATATATTATAATTTTCTCTGAAAAGTGATGCACACACACACACGCATATATATATACACACATGTGTTCAAAACCTTAAAGAACAACTTGGGAACGAAAATGGAAGCTTAAGTTTCAATTTGTGCATTGTAACATTTCCTTGGGATTCCTATGACACACGTGAAATTCTCATGGGGATTATAGTAGGATAAACCATCTACAATACTCATGGGATCATAGGAAAATTACCAAATCAATTGACTTAATGTCAACCAGGATTAATAAACCATGGTTTATGAATGAGGGGGTACTACTCCAATAGTCATCTCATCTAATACTTTTTAACAGTACCATCCCAATTAAACAGCTTAGGGGTTTGTTAATCCAGAGTTGAGTGCTTCTTACGGATTACTGGTGGTTAATAATGGTGGTCAAATTACTATCATCAACCATCATTAACCACCATTTACTATAATGATCATTGGAGTAAATTAAACTAATTGACTTATTTCATTCTCCTGGGATACGGATGGATGTCCACCATCGTTTCCACATGCGTTGGTCGCTGGAGGTTTCTGGAAGCCCTTCGTGCTGAGCCTCTGCCAAGTGGAGCCCAACAGTCGTTTGCCACTGCACCCTGCCATGGATGGGAAAACCCACGAAAAACATGGGTTAAAGATGGGTTGAAATATGTTGGACCCACAGAATCCATAGAAATGGGATGAAATGGGGAGATCGACCAACAAATCTGGGTGTAGGACGGTATTTTTTGGCATACTGAATCTGAGCAACAACATATGCGGGACCGCTGTTTTTCTGGGTGGACTGTTGGTTGCATGTTTGCTGATCATGCGTTCGTTTCTAGGTACATT